TATTATAAAATGTATATCCTATAAATTCATATATGTAAACTATATATTTCTTTTTGTCATCTTTTTTTTTGTCCTCATAAACTATATAGTTCTATGTCAATTATAATATAACTTTATACAATTTATCACATAATAAATTATGTATATAATTCAGAGTTAGGATATGATATGTGTAACATTTTTGTATATATTTCTAATATTAATGTTAGAATTAAATCGGTTAAATACAAATTTCTATAATAAATATAAGTGATAAAACATAATTATTATCTATTTCTATAGATTTAAAATATATCAAATTCAAAACTATTTATTATTCTTTAATTTTATAACCATATTATGGTATTAGGGAAGATATACCTTGTTGGTAAAGGCTTTTAATTAGTTAATTCGTTTATTAATAACTTGCCTTATTTTATTATCAATTACTTGCGCAAGTTGAAATTATGTTTACCTTATTTTGCCATCAATTACTTGTCTTAAATGGTTTTATACATTTTATCAACTTTGTACTTAAATATGATTTTATACAATTTATCATATTATAAATGTATATCCTATAAATTCATATATGTAAACTATATATTTCTTTTTTGTCATCTTTTTTTTGGTCATCTTTTTTTTTGTCATTTTTTTTTTGTCATCATAAACTATATAGTTTTATGTCAATTATAATATAACTGTATACAATTTATCACATAATAAATTATGTATATAATTCAGAGTTAGAATATGATATGTGTAACATTTTTGTATATATTTCTAATACTAATGTTATAATTAAATCGGTTAAATACAAATTTCTCTATTAAATATAAGTGATAAAACATAATTATTATATATTTCTATAGAATTAAAATATATCAAAATCAAAACTATTAATTATTCTTTAATTCTATAACCATATTATGGTATTAGGAAAGATATACCTTGTTGGTAAAAGGCTTTTAATTAGTTGATTTGTTTATTAATAACTTGTCTTATTTTATTATCAATTACTTGCGCAAGTTGATAAGATTATTACCTTATTTTGCCATCAGTTACTTGTCTTGAATGGTATGTTAATTATTGCAAATTTATGACAATCAATTTTTAATATCTTTCTTTAATTGCTTCATGTTTATTAAAAGAAAACAAATATTACAAGAACCATAAGACTTTATATATCTCAAGAAATGTCTTTACAAGAATTTTTATAACAAATATTTCAGGAACCATAAGACTTAATGATAAAATATGATTATTAATTCATAATTATTCTTTAAATTTGATATATTCTGAATT